CAGCATACAACATCCCACTGCCCTTTGGACCCTCACAGCTGATCAGGAAAAACTCTCCCAAAAAAAAACCTTTAACAGGGGAAAAAAATGGTAGAAACCTCAGGAAGAGCAACTGAGGAGGGATCCCTCTTCCAGGATGGACAGACGTGCAATAGATGTCATACAGAACAGATCAGCATAATAGATTAACAGTAAACCATATGACACAATGAGACAGAAAGAGAGACAGAGAGAGAGAGAGATGCAGGTAATGACAGTAGCTTACAACAACATTAATGAAAGTAATAATATTATAGTTACAGTTCTGGCTACTGTGGTACAATATGTTGAAAGTATGTATTAATATCTGGCAGTATACATGTGTGACAATAGTCATAAGTGTATAATAACAGTAGAAGTATGACTAATGACTAATGATGGCAGCAGCAGCAGGAGGCATCTGGCAGGACCACGGCAGCAGCACAACCACACACGTCACGCTGTCCAGGCACCACTGCGATATGAGTTAATCTGAGAGACAGTGGAGCACAAAGGCTCCGGAGAAGAAGCCGAGTTAGTGACATCCAGAATGGCCGAGTTAGCAAGATGCAGTAATAGAATAAGAGAGAGAGAGAGAGAGAGAGAGAGAGAGAAGGAGAGAAGGTGCCCGGTGTATTATAGGGGGGTCCTCCGGCAGACTAGGCCTAAGTCAGCCTAACTAGGGGCTGGTACAGGGCAAGCCTGAGCCAGCCCTAACTATAAGCTTTATCAAAGAGGAAAGTCTTAAGTCTAGTCTTAAATGTGGAGACGGTGTCTGCCTCCCGGACCGTAACAGGAAGATGATTCCACAGGAGAGGAGCCTGATAGCTGAAGGCTCTGGCTCCTGATCTGCTTTTGGAGACTTTAGGGACCACGAGTAACCCTGCATTCTCAGAGCGCAGAGTTCTGGTGGGATAATAAGGCACTATGAGCTCTCTAAGATATGACAGAGCCTGACCATTTAGAGCTTTATAAGTTAACAGTAGGATTTTAAATTCAGTTCTGGATTTTACAGGGAGCCAGTGCAGAGAAGCTAAAACAGGAGAAATATGATCTTGTTTCTTAGTTCCTGTTAGCTGGAGAGTTTTTAAGGACTTACTAGAGCTACCTGATAATAGAGAGTTACAGTAATCCAGCCATGTATGATATATGTATAGTCTGATTTGTGTCATGCCATGCCAATTTTTTTAATATGTAGTGACCCCCTGGCTAGGTCCCCAGGAAATGCACCAGGCTTTGAAGCTAATTTTCATAGTGGCCAAACAGTGGAACTGCAATTTCAGGGGTCCGTCACACCATATCCTGCGGCCTAAACAACTTTTTCCCTTTGACTTACATTTTGAATGTCACAACCCCCACAAAATGACTCCGTTCACTATCAGCATTTGATCCATTCAGTTCAGCAACATTTTGGAAGTCTAGAACAGCTGCAGGATTAAATTATTTTACCACATTCATGTTAGCGGAGCACTAAAGTTAGCTGTTCAGCCTGCAGAAGTAAGACATGCGGCCACACTCAGTCGTGCTCAACCACCGAAAGTCTCTAGTGTGCCTGCACTCTAGTATGCTGTAGTGCGGCATACTAGTAGTAGTGCGAAAGTAGTGCCGATCGTCCCTGGACCATCTGGGTAATTTTGATGTGGCAGTTTAACTATTTTGGCTTCATGCACCACTGAGGAACTCTCACAGGAATGAATAGAGCCCCACATTTAATGCTGAATCCAGTTCTCTTAATAAATCCATGGTTTCAGTTATTAATGTAGAAGCAAGCAATGTGCTTCATCATGCATCATCAGACATATGTGTTCATGGTGATGAAATGCTAATGCCATATACGTTGGAAAAAAACATTAACCTACAGTATCAGTGGTCACCCAGAGGATTCCAGACTGACATTTGAAGCCTCAGATGACTATCTGCTTTTGGACATTGTGATCCCTAAACACATGGCCTTAATATCATCCTTCTTTCCCTAATTTTTCATCTTTTCCAGCAATAGCATAAATGCATGCTTGTAGCATAAATGTGGTGTATTACAGCATATAAAAGCCACAAAATACAATAACAAAGCAGTTCATAAGAGAGTTGATAACATCCTAACTAATCTACCTGTAACAGTCCACCTGTCACATGACCATCCTCAGATCTTCAGTGATGGCAGTGACACAGTCCCCCAAAAGTCCAAAAATCTAAGAGATAGTCTCATGAGACCATAAAGCTTTAGTCAAAACGTGTATCACCTTCTTGCCTTGCAGCAAACTGTAGCAAAGTCACTGGTGAGTTTCCTTGAATAATTCTGTTTTTTGAGTCTCTTTCATGAAACTGAAGTAGTGAAGTTCCTGGCCCGCTGTTCCAGTGTGCACAGTTTGTCCCAGCTCAGTCTCATAGGACTGTGACTTCAAAGTGCTGTGAAGTCACACTGTGGTTGTGTTGTGGGTGTGCTGTGGGTGTGTTGTTGGTGGCCTCCCTCACTGCTGCTCTCCTCATAGATATCTTTTTTAAGTGAGCCTGTTTTGGAAAGATTTGGAAAGGTTGTTCAGTAATCTCTGTAGCTCTTTGTAAAAGCACTAACTCTGGAAAATGTCCTTACATCTAGTGCTTCTCAATATCCTCATCTTTTTCAAAAGTATTTGGAATACTTTTTCATTTATTCTTCACACCTTAACTGCAGACAGCTAATTATTATCTAGGTAATTAAAGCTCCTTAAATTAAGTCTTGAAAACATTGTAATCTTTGTTCTTCACTCTTTCAGCCAGGGTCATATGGACACTGAGGTCACATCTCTGTCAATTTTCTGGGAATTTGGGGGTAATGACCTTCAGGGAGTTTGCATTGTACTGCAAAAAAACATACATATGGTGGGTATTTCACAGGCTGGTTCCAGTGTTTTTAGACTTCATATATTAAAGAAAAAGTTCACCCCAAAATCAAAAAAATATTTTCCCTCTTACCTGTCATGCTATTTATTTTGGTGTAAGTTGCCAAATAATAGAGATATAGTTACTACAAGAAACTGCTCACAATAAAGTCTGGATTATCTTGAGTAACTGGGTAATGATTTCTGGAAAGAAACATTGTTGCTGTGTTTTTCAAATGTACTTTTTCTGTTCTTTGAGCAGCACAAGCCGAGTGCCATCTAGCTCCGTTATATTGGCGAGAAGGCAGACATCTCTACAGCTGATATCTCAATTTACACCGAAACAATCTACAGCAGCATTCAGAAGTTTGGGCATCCGTGATCAAAATTTCAATAACTGTGAGTAGTCAAGTAAGTAGAAAATGACCTGATTTCCAAAAGGCATAAAGATAAAAATGAAACATTTCTTCAATATTTTAAGCAAGATTATTTTTCTATTTAAATCTGCAGTTTCAAAATAACAAAAAAAAGGAAAACAGCCTGAAGCAAAAGTTTGGGCACCCTTCATGGTCAGTGCTTAGTAGCACCCCCTTTGGTAAGTATCACAACTACTTAACACTTTTTGTAACCAGCTAAGAGTCTCTCAGTTTTTGTTTGGGGGATTTTCACCCATTCTTCCTGCAAAAGGCTTCTAGTTCTATGGGATTCTTAGGCCATCTTGCATGCACTACTCTTTTGAGGTCTATCCACAGATTTTTAATGATGTTTAGGTTGAGAGACTGTGAGAGCCATGGCAAAACTGTCAGCTTGCACCTCTTGAGGTAGTCCATTGTTGATATCGAAGTGTCTTTGGAATCATTGTCCTGGTGTAGAAGCCATCCTCTCTTCATCTTAAGCTTTTTTTTACAGATGGTGTGATGATTGCTTCCAGATTTTACAGGAATTTGATTGAATCCATTCTTCCCTCTACACCTAGAAATGTTCCACTGGCTGCAACACAAGCCCAAAGCATGATCGATCCACCCCGTGTTTAACAGTTAATAGTTGGACAGGTGTTCTTTTTATGAAACTCTGCATCCATTTTTCTCCAAACAAACCTTTGCTCACTCTGTCCAAAAAGTTCTATTTTTACTTGTTTCAAAAAGCATCATGCTTGTTCAGATGTTCCTTTGCAAACTTCTGATCCTGAATTTTGTGGTGAGGACACAGGAAAGGTTTCCTTCTGATGACTCTTCCATGAAGGTCATATTTGTACAGGTGTCACTGCACAGTAGAACAGTGCACCACCACTCCAGAGTCTGATAAATCCTCCTGCAGGTCTTTTGCTGGTGTTTTGATTGCCTCTCTAACAAACACGACCAGTAGCTCTCTCAAAACGTTTTCTTGGTCTTCCAGACCTCAACTTGACCTCCACAGTTCCTGTTAACTGCCATTTCTTAATTATATTACGCACTGAAGAAACAGCTACCTGAAAACACTTTGCTATCTTCTTATAGCCTTCTCCTGCTTTGTGGGCATCAATTATTTTAGTTTTCAGAGTGCAAGGCAGCTGTTTAGAGGAGCCCATGGCTGCTGATTGTTGGGACAAGGTTTCAGGATTCAGAATAAAGCTTTAAAATTTGCATCACCTGGCCTTTCCTAATGATAATTGTGAACAAGCCAGAGCAAGCTAAATTAAGGTCTGACACATGGTAAAATTTGTCTGAGAGCTCAAATGTCTTGGGGTGCCCAAACTTTTGCATGGTGCTCCTTTCCTTTTTTCACTGTGAAATTGTACAAAACAAAAATTATACACTTAAATGCATAACATGTTGAAAAGCATATTTTGTCTTTAACGTCATGCATTTTGGAGATCAGTTTATCTTCTATTTACTTAACTATGCACAGTAAAAGAAATTTTGACCAGGTGTGCCCAAACTTTTGCATGCCACTGTAGATCCATAAATAGCACTACAGGTAAGAGGAAAAATATGTTTTTACAATCTTGGGTCAACTGGGATCAACAACAGATTACTTTTAGGCCAACAAGTAAATAAAGAAATTCAGTATTTTTCCCGTTTTATTCATGGCAACATTTAGAGCTTAATTAAAGGAATTAGTCAAAAAAAAAAACCCACACATTTCTGTATCTTATTTCAGTAAATTTTGCATAACATTTTTAATCAGTGACTTTTACACAGTAAGACCAGGACCATTATAACTGCGTATAAACATTACAAGAGCATACTGCTGGTGCCACATTTGATAAAAATATAATAAAGCTCAATAATGTCAATGTAAACCATCATTTAAATATTATAAGATACAGCGGGAATATTACAGTGATACCATAGGATACTGAAAACAGGAAAAGTACAGCAGGTTTAATATTACAATCTCGGTATCATAAATGTACACCTAGCAACATTACTGTAATACCATATGAAAAGGAAATATTTGTAAAGCATGAAAAGTCAATAGGGATTACACTGTAATGGTGTTACTTGTTTATTCTGAGGCTGTGAACTGCTACCATTCTCAGGTTAATAGGTTTATGAGAGATGACAGCACAGTAACACGTCTGCCTTTATAACTCAGAGCTCTGGGTGATGTTGACGTTCTCCCTGTAGGCAAAGCAGCTGGGGAAGATGCCAATATTTCCTGCGCTGTGTCCCTCCAGCCACTCCTCATTAACTACGAGAGTGTGAGAGAGAAACATAAAGAGACAGTGAGACTCACATCTGAACTGAGGATGAAGCACTGTGGGAACATTTCAAATCAAAGTGTCAGACAAAGCAACAAGACTTTTTATGATTCCACTGATGAGCAGTTCAGTATGAGGATGACCTGCAGGGTCTCACCTTCGCCCAGGATGTCGATTGTGTCTCCCTCACTGAACTCCAGGTCCTCTGAGCCCTGAGCAGTATAGTCATAGAGCGCCACCATCTGATAGAGGATGGGACGGTTGGCCAGGGGGTCTTCTGTCTGTAGTAGTATAACAGCACAATGAGGGGGGATTTTTAGGTAAGTAGTTTTATTTGACAACAATTAAAAAAAACATACATGAGTAACTGCGGATCAGTTTCATATACATTAATTAAAAATCGTCGAGGATTAAAATACACAATAAAGACCAAAGGCTTATTTCCATTGTGGTCCTCGATGACAATAAAAGCTGGCAATTGTGTCAATGACAGGCAAGAGTGGCATAGTTAAAACAAACAACCCCCTAAAAACATGTGAAAAAAAACTTTAAAAAATTGAACCAGAAAGCACAGAATCTTCAATTAGTCAGCCATTTCCTAAGATTGAATTTAAAATTTCTCTCATTTGAGATTAATTTGAGAGAAACGAGAAGATCACACCACAGGCAAGCTGCAGTGTATGAAAAGGTATTTTTCCCTAACTTAGTTTTAAATTTCAAGGGAACAAAATTTGTTTGGCTGCCTCTGGTATTGTGAGAGTGTGTAGCTCCCACTGGATTAAAAAGGTCAGCAAGGTAGGGAGGTGCATTTTTAAAAGCTATTTTATGGGCAATGCCCATTTTAATCTGCACCACCCTTTTTTCCACATTTAATAAATTAATCTTTTTGAAATGGACTGAATCCAAATGAGTGCGGGGATGCAGCTTTAAAACAACACTAATTAACTTGTTTTGAGCAGTCTGCTTTATCAGCATGGCGGTAGATTACATAGTTACCTAGAGGAATCATGAATTGAATGTTGTGACTTTGGGCGTAGTGAAAAGAAAAGAAAAGAAAAGAAAATCCTCCACTTGCCTCCTCTGGACCTAGGACAACCTCTTAACAACGCATTATGTAGTGGTGGGCACAAAATGTGTTAAAATTATGGGCCGGCAAAACAAAAATAAGAGCAATGCAAAATGTATTACAAACAGTTGCAGCTTGGTTAGCTTTAGAAAAGGAAAACACTGGGTTAGGTTTAAAGAATAAAACAGTACTTGGGTTTGATTTCAGTAGCATCAGGCGGTGAGGTTGCAGCATTGCAACCATCGAAACTTCTGCCCTGTGCCAAGCATGTAGGAGAACTACTACTACAACAAGGCAAACGTTGTGGAAGAGGACCCCCTCTCTATCTGATATAAATGGCTCATTATAAGATAATGAAAACACAACCATTCTTATTTTTTAGGTGATTCTAAACAAAATCATAAACATAGTTCTAAATATTCTAGTTAATTTCTACCCATAGAGTCCTTTAAAATCTACACCCTGAACCTTTAAGTGATGTAAAGGTGGATTAGCTAAATGCAGAACCTTTGCCATAGCCTAAGCACATGGCCTACGCTGTTGTGAGCATTTATACTTGTGCGGTGTTGTTTGTGTCACTCTGCAGTTACACCCCCAAAACACTAGTTGGCAGTGGGGTTTCTGAGAAGTGCTGTAAAGTCTAGTTGATTCAAAACACACCCAAAACACAAATTGAAAATGGCTTAATAGTGACAATTTCATTTACAAGTACACACATCGGCTTCACTATAACTCGCAGCATTCACAGAAAAAGCACGTCTTTATCTGGACACATTTTCCCCACAAATACTAGATGCTTATGTTATTAGCATAAGCCTATGGCATTTTACATTATATAATTTAGCCTAGTGACAACAGCAATATTAAACAAAGGTTATGTTACAAACTTCGGCCTCATTACAACTCACAAGTTCACTGACAAAACAACTGTCTAATACTAAATATGTCTTCCAAACAAATACAACATGCTCACATTATTAGTACAAGCCTATGGTGTTTTACATGGTATAAATTAGCCTAGTGACTAGCGGAGATTTCCTCTACTAAATGAAGCCCTGGATAAATTTTAGTGCCGATTCAGCACAGAAGTAGAAATCCCACTTAAGCTGAATGTACATTGCATAATTAAGTCCATAAAGTCACATCATGTAACTACGTTGACTTTTGGTTTTACACGGGACACAAACAGCAGTCTCCTGATTGAAAGTCCATGTTGGTTGACCCACCGGAACCCCTCCTTTACGTCCTAACCAGACTTTCTCGCTCCTTCTACTTAATTCATGTGTCATACGTCAAAGGGATCCTTACTGACTTTGCATTGGCATTGTTTTCACATTACCAACACATAATTCTACCATATTTTTACCATATTTTATACCTGCCACCATGTAATGTACTGTAAAATTTTGTGTCCATGAGACAGGGCTGTTATATTACAATCACAAAAAAAACCTTAAACCTTAATCAGCTGCAATGCATACAGTTACTTATTAAAATTGATGGCAAACAACAAAGAAGTCAATATTTCAACCACTCTCTATAGTGAACAAAAAGCTGCTAAATAAATGTGAACTGTAAACTGGACACACACCAGAGAGTCATAATATTTTCATTCTACCTCCCGATTCCAAGTCAGAAAAACAAATGTAGACTAGATAATGCTATTGCATGTATTGTACAAGATCAGATGTGTGGCAGTGCATTATTCTGTCTGATCTTTTTAGCTCCTTTATACATGGCTGAGTTGGTTGGTCAACATGTTTCATATCACCCATGAGTAGAACAAGTTGGCAATGTGTAACGCAGAACTTAAAAGCTAACTTTAAAGGCCACATTAAGCTTTTTTCTTATAAAGCTGGTAATGACTGTTGGTGGGATAATATTCAGTAAGTAATATCTACTGTATTAAGAGCCACTGTATTCTCAAAACTGCCATATTGGCTATAATAACCACCAGTTGGTTGTAATGGGTAAACAGAGACAGTGAGTATGGTGCGCATTTTATACCATATTATGTAAGTAATTTCATATTCATATAATCCTTTCAGGTGTCCATCACCCATTTATAATACCACTAGATCAATAGAAAATAAATAAATAAATGAAACAACTCAATGAGCCACTGTATGTATTTTAACTTTTTTTGTTTTGTTTTTTGTTAAAGTAAAATATGATGTCATAATCCTGCAACATGTCATTTTGCTGAATGCTTCAATGCAGAGTGTCCTGGTATCATTTACTGTATATACAGTATAAACGCACTAATGGGAGTAAAGTTATATGTGCTCTTAACGTTGAAAAAACTTGCCACAGAAAAGAAAACACTCCTCATGACTCTCAGCCAGATCAAGGAGAAAGTTACATTATAGGCCTTTATTTAAATGGGAATAATAGTTTACATCTCAATACAACCTGGTCCCAGCTCCTCAAATACTGACGCTTGGTCAACGGCCCTCGACGTCAGATAGCTACGCACAAAGTCGCCTTTTAGCGCCGGAATGAGACGCACTGGCTGGCAACATTTTTTGACGATCAGAGCAACTGCCTCAGTAAAAAGAGGGAGAAAGTGTTTTTTTTTAATTGAGTTTTTAACTGAAAGCAGGGAGATGCTACGTTTACTGTCAGCATCTTAACCGTCTGTCTAACAGGACACCCCATCTTTAATCATATGTTAGTATATAATCTTCGATTAGTGCAGATTTAATAATGGTAGGGGGAAATCTGACAGGAGGGCAACTGCAACCCTACAACTGCATTCTGCTTTCAAGTCCTGATGTGTGTGTCGCTGTGAGTTTAAACCCTCACCTGGCACCACAGGGTGGCTCTGCCAGCCTCAGCTACCTCTTGCATGGTATGGCCTGGCTCCCCCTCCCCACCCAGAGGTATCAGCACCTGGGAGCCATGCTGCCTATGTCTGATGAGACACAGAGTGGAAGAGGTGAGGGGGATTGGAAGCAGAGGATTAGATGGGAAATAGATTACATCACAGGAGCAAATGTGGGACAGAGAATAGAAAACAAAACAACCTTATTGTAGAATGACACAGATGATTGCAAGCATTAAAGCAGGGCTCTGATGCATGTTATTTGTTGTTAACAACTCCTGACTGGTTCCATTGTCAGGAGTGTAAAGCATTCACTTGAAAACAAGACAAGACTATTATTCTTCTTCTTATTATTATTATCTCATTTCTAATGAATGAAAATTTTTAAAATCTCATTAATTCAGAAAAACAGGACATTTTTTTAATCCATGACATTTTCTTCTCAGAATTCTGAATTAATAATCTCTCAAATTCAGAAAAACAAGGTTTTTTTTGTCATGTGAATGTATTACACTTATATATCATTCTTATCAATTCTTAGATATTGTGTAATGTTTTTGTGATGTGTTTTTATCACATGATGACACTGTGTTAATCCTCTTCTGCTGTTTGTTGCTGCTTTCATGGACTCCTCTTGTGTCTGTGGAGCTGCAACCTCAGTGTCCTATGTTTTATGTTAGGCTTTCTTAGCCGGAACAGATATTGGACCCACAGGGTGTAGTGGACAAAGAAAAGCATATTTTTAGAAGTGAAGCATCACTTGTTGAAATTCGAGGAGACAGAAGTGGGTTGGCAGGCCTGTGGTTACCTGAGGCGCAGCTGAGATGCTGGCTGGCCCAATTTCTTTGCAATGCGTTCCTTCAGTTCATTGTGCGGTATGTCCAGAGGGACAGACAGAGCCACAGTGTACGTGTAGTGGACTTTTACCACCACAGAGGATGCCTCTGCTCCCTGAGCTTCACCATCATCCTGGGAACAAGGAGCAGAGACACGTTAAAAGATAAATGCAGCTTTTATTTAAAAATATTGATTTGGTCTAGTCAGTGTGAATACTTTTTTACATGGTTATTATGTAGTATAGTACTAGTATTAGTATCACCACGCCTGCCTTCACATTTCCTATTAGTTCTAGTATTTGTGCTTATGAAATTGTAGAGCCAGTTGTAGTTACTGTTAGTGCTGGAAGTTACTTTGGATATTGTACATTGACAGGGCCAGCCCAAATGTTCTTGGGCGTTAACAGAATTTCCAGCCTGGTCACCAGGAGCCTCATTTATAACCACTGTGTACTGTGTTGAGATTTATAAAGAAAAATGTGTCAAGGAAATGTGCGTAAATTCAAGGAAACTCTAACCCATGCGAAGGCAAAGGGTGAGAGGAATCATTATACCTATGTAGAAGCATAAGTCAAATGGTCGGGAGCTGGGCCAGGAAGCTCGCGACCTCATTCCCATCTTCTCGAACGGACTTTCTTTGTTTTCCATTAGATATCAAAAACTCAAATACTCAGAGGTAAAAAAAAATCACTGGAGACACGTAGAATCAGATGCAACTGAGTTTAATGTGCTAGCAGGCAACAAACACATCACAACTCAATGAGTCAAGCTCTGGAGCAAGACTGAAATTTCTTTGTTTGCGCACTCGTATTTATTGTGAAGATTTTCTGCTGAGTCGTCTCTTTCTTAATCTTTCCCACTTGGCTCTGATCGTAACGATGTCACGTTTCTGTTGAGTTTCCACTTTTTTTCCTTTCATCCTACCACCATAACGGTGTCATATTTTTGCTGAGCCTTCACTTTTTCTCCTTTCATCCTAAACCCCACCTCTTTACTCGTACTCATAATGTTTTTCCTAGACAATCTAAGACTCCTCCTCCTCTTACTAGGGTCATCCTCAGGACAAGCTGTAATCCCCCTAACTTTCCACCAGTGTTTCTGAGCCCATCCTCATGCTATTTTTAGAAATGATACCTAGGTACTTCTCCACCACAATACTTAAATGCTCAGTGAGTGTGTGTGTGTCATAGGAATACATGAAATAATAAACTAGTGGGTGTCTTGTCAGTGCACAGAGTACATTGCTTCAACACGTACCTTTAAAAGTCAATTTAAAGCTACAGTATAAACACTTCAGTAAATATTACACTACACCTATAATGATCTCTCACGCATTTAAAGTCACCACATATCACATGCTTCTTGTACAGCCACTTCATAAACATTCAAATGCAGCAGTGTTATTTGTGTTTGTGCCAGTGAGCCACATCTTTTCCATAACCACCTTTGATTGCAAAAGATATGTTAATGTTGTCAGTTGTAGAAATCCAAGATAACATGAAACAGCATTAAATAATTGCAGTACACTGTGTCAGCAGTTTTCAATAATATCATCAAGTACCATTTTAGTTTTCAGATAGTTTTTGTTTGTAAAATGGCTGCAGGGAACATGGGTGTGCTGTCAGGCGCACAGAGTACACTGAAGATACTGCGGATCTTCGCCTCTTCACCACCTGCACATATGGACTGTGTAAATTAGCAAAGACGTCAGGGTGCAGTTCTTTTCTTTTTTTCTTCTTTTTTTTGCATCCACCTTTAGATCTGACCTTTTTAGATGTGATGTGAAAGGAAATTGCGTACTGAGAGGTGTATGCAGTTTTCTAACTCAGAAGATTTTTTAATGTACATACAAATAATGTACGTGTAAATCACTGAAATCAACAGTTTTATATTTGGGACACATTTTGCACAAAATTTGAGGTCAACAAAAATGGGAAATACAATCAAATTGCTGATTTAAACCAGTATCAATATAACAAGGTGTTCAATTGGGACTAGGCTTTTAAGTGAAGTTTTACAGTATCAAACCTACCCATACCTTTTTTCTGAAGGTCAGAGGTCCATATTGTAAGTCTTATTTTTCCCTGAGCACAACTTTTTTATTTTACAGATTGTGCGCACAAACTGCTAATCTATACATGCAAATTTCCACATCCACATCTATGACAGCTAGCGGGCTCTGTACATTTGCACCTCTACTCCTTGGGGACTCATGGTGGCCCAGCCTGGTTGCCAGAAGAAAATGTTGGCATTGAACCTTTTTGCAAACCAATAAACAATACTTAACATTTGTACGCTTCATACAAATCATATCAGCGTTTCCAAAGCGAGGTAAAAACACTTTGTCATTGGGAGGTAGAGGGGATGGTGGATGGCGCGACACCTAGGTGAGATGCTGCAGACCACTGTAGACTGCAGTTTGGGACCAATAAACAATAAAAGCAGTTGTTTTTAAGTGAGTCATTATTGTGTTTCCAGCAGCTTTTAAGTCACCAAACATGGGTGGTTTTTAGCAACCCATTGCTGTATTTCCACCATGAACTGCACCACCAAAAATTGAGCATAGTGTTAGTTCAGGCAGGACACAATGTCAAGCCCAACTCACATCAGAGTTACATCAGCTGATCTCAAGCAGCCCAATTAACTGATGGAGCAGCTGATTGATGAAAGGGAGTTAGCTGATAGATCACTTGATTCCATTCAATGCAACCAATTGGAAATTCTCATTCAGGGCACCCTATTTAAACTGCTTTGACCTGCCTACTGTTGCTGCTTCCTCTGCAAGCTGCTTTGCAACCTGCCTCCACCCCAGCTCCTCATGTTTATGTTGTGTCTGACTTATCAGTGTCATTTCTGTTTGTCAATGATGCTGCTCTGTTCTGTTCCAGGAGAGTCTTTGCTGCTGCTTTCCCTGCCTTAGGCTTTCCACGTAGGTGTATGAAAGAGGATTTCTGCATAGGCCTAGGAAAGGCTGAGAGACCCCAGAACAGAGCCATGCCACCAAATACTGTATAATACTGCAAATGGATGAAAAGTTTTCTTTATTAAAGTGGTCCAGACTTAACTATGGTATTATGGTAAAAGTATTTCAAGCCAAACATGATCTTTTCCTTATCATAACCAAGTGGTTTTTGTGCCTAAACCTGACCCCACATTAATTACAGCATTTAAGAAATGTAAAGTTTCAGCATATCCACTACATAATAAAATACAAATGTAACATATTCATGGTTTGCAGAAATGTACAATGCCAACATTTATTGTGGCAATTGGTTGAGTTGGCCAAAGGACCATAAACACACCACATTATTTGCTTGTGGATTGGAATTCTTGTGATTCTTGTGAGTTTGAAATTTGAAAATAAAATCAAATTAAATGAAATCATAATGCATTAAGATGGGAAAGCATGTGCAAATTCACTAATAGCAAATATCTATATAAATATAATTTTTATTTCATAGTTCTCTTAAATGCAAATTTAGAGATCTTGATGTAGTCATCAAACATAGTGACATCAACCTTCATAAGTAAATAAGCTATAGATCCTACAGTATCGTTTTTAGTCAAAACCAAAGTGATGACTCAATTTTGGCCTCATGTTGATATTTCAAGAACCAGTGAGCGTGACTATGTATGATAAAGCAGCAGCAGTAAAAATGTGTGTGGAAGCTCTTGTAGTCAGTCTTTCAGCACTGTGAAACTTCATCAAGCCTCTGCATTCATGTCACAGAGACTAACTCCCTGTACATGTGTTCTATACATGATGATTAAACTAATTGATTAAATGAGGCGCCTGAAGCTGCTTTTTGTTCAAAATGCCGCAGGTTGCCATGGTTCACTCATTATGAGCTGAAAGATATGAAAAAGCATCATTCTCATCAATTTACGGTGAAATCGTCCTCAGTGAGCCTGACAGAGGAAAACTGTTATTTAGTGGCAAATGTGGAACAGGAAGTCCATTAGTTACAGATTCTTTTTTTTCAGGTCACTGTGACATGCAGAAAACACAAAAGGATATTTATATCCAAACGCTGACTACCTCTTCCTCCCTTAAGCATCATAGTGACTTAATCGGGACACATCAGCATTCCCCTGCTACGTTCAACCTTACAAAGCAGTTTCTTCTCAAGTCGGCTCAATCCTCCTATATTTAGATCAGGTAGAAAGCGAAGGAGAGTGTATGTGTTGTGTGTGTGTGTGTGTGTGTCATATGCCGGATGTGCGAAGAAAATAACTTTGATGTGATTTCACCTTTGAGCCTGCACAGACGAATGTGGCTTTTCAGAGGGGGGATATTACCTGGTCACTGGCTGCGTTGGCTGTGTACTTGGGAGGCTCTGAGGCAGGCAGTGGAGCGTGGGTGGCAGTAGTGTAGGATGGAGGTGGAGTGTCTGAGGTAACACGTACTGCAGGGAAAACACAGTACAGGAACAGTGTAAGCACACACAGTACAAGTCTAATGGAAGGTTAGACGGGTAGCTGTTCCCTGAGTCTGTCCCATTATGGAAATATAAACACTTAGTAGTTGTATTTTATTGTTCCTTCTGACACTCATTTAATGATAATGTTTATCAGCAAGCACAGCTGTGATTTTAAAACCTACACCTGCTTTGCCCGGGGGCCAGTTTTGCAAAATAACAGGAGGAGAGGGGCAAGTTAATACATTTGATATTTTATTAAATTTATTCAATAATAAATGAATTGCCTGTTTTCAACCTTTCAGTGCTTGCTGTCATCATTCATCTTTGTCAATAAAGCAAATTTTGTTGCAGCAGCCCCGCAAATGTCAGGTGTATGCAGGGGCATTTCTAGGATTTGAGGATGTTAGCCCAGACCCTCAGTCAGAGGGGAGTCGGAGGGATGCTACTTTGGTACTTTTTTTGATAAACAAGCTACCTTTTGATGCTCTTTTTGCACTCTACCTCCTTATTTACATTCAAAGTACAAAAATAAGTCCCAGTTTAAATTTTTTTTGTTTTTATTGTGGATTACAAAAAGGTTGGCAGGCCACCCAGCACCCTATGGGTGGCCAGATTTGGCATGTGGGCCAGAAGTTGAGTCCTGGCTTACTACTTGGCAGCAGAAGCTCAGCCCATAAGGGCTTGGGTTGTGAACCTGAGGGTCACTGGTTCAAGTCCCCGTCTGGACCAAATATTGAGCATGGACTTGTAACTGGAGAGGCTTGCCTCCATGGGTGATGCCCTTGGACCCCTGACTGCTCAGGGCGCCTGCCCATGGGCAGCCCCTTTGCTCTGACATCTTTCTATTTAATGCATGTATAGGTCCTGTTTGCGCATGTGTGTGTATTTCAGCCTGTATGTATATGACAAACAGATGAATTAATAAAGAAGCTGCAGTTTTCATTCATTCATTCAAGTGGCAACCTCTGGGGCTGAAAAATAAACCCAACATAGAAGCGCCAAAAACTGCAGTTCCTCGAATGGCTACTCGAGGCTGACTCCAAGAGTGAGTTAATCCCCAAAGACCCCCATGTTACAATGCCCAACTTTGCAGCAGAAATAAACATGTTTACAGCCTGGTACAAAAAACAGGTTTGGTATCTATAGCTAATTTCCCCTTTCATGACAACCCCTGTGTAGGGGGTAAATTTTATTTAAAACCCATATTATTAAAACCCGTTTAAATGTTATTAAGGCTTAAAGGGATAGTTCAACATTTTGGCAAATTTGCCTATTGCCGTAATCCCTATAGTCATATGAGTAGGTACATTACCTTTAATTGTCAGTGAGTGCTGTTCTGAGATCGGTGGGACAGAGCTGCCCACTGAAATGGAGGTGAACAGTACAGGTCCCTCTCTCCCTCAAAACTAATCAAATACACCATCAAATGACTCCAAAACGCTCTAGTGGACAACACATGGCTTGCGCATTCCCCACGCTATGAAATAATAATGTATAATTAAGTAACCTTATGACACATAAAGCAAATACTCGGAACTACTTTCTTGAGTAAACCACTGGTCGGAGTGACACAGTGCGCAGCTGAGACAGTGCCGTTGTTATTGCTTGTAGCCATTTGCGGTATCGTCAGCTGGACACACCAGGGGCCTGTATCACGAAGCAGGATTAATGTCTTAGCGAGGTAACTTCAGGGTTAACCCTGGGTTTTCGTTCTCACGAAGCCGGTTCAGTTCTTATCGGGGTAGATCACCATGGTAACTTACTCTGAACGGCTATCCTGCTCCGGAGCAGGGTAAGTTCAGGGTTGAATCTGATCCTATAAAAAGCACCACCCACTGGCCAATCAGCTGTTCGGAAAAAAATGACTCCGCTGACAGAAATGCAGCCCAGTCATGACGGGAAGTTTAATTAATTTGATTGATTTTGATTTGAAAGTTTATTTTGAACATTAAAAAAGAAAAGAAAGCAACAACAACAGACAATGAAAAGATTGTTCAAAA